ATCTTTTAAATCTAATATATTTTGATATAATTCTTACTGTCAGGATTATGCATGACTTATAAATTCTCTTTCTTTCCCCCTCCTTGTCTTATCCCTGCACGGTTGTAATTGACATGGCTATTCTGATATGAGTTGGCCAGCACTAATTATAGTAAGAGTTAAACATACACAAAGTTCTGAATAATAAAAAGTTAACACATGTGAGGCAATGTGAATTACCCCCCCCATAGCAGTCATGTTCTGTAGCAATCATGAATTCTTCAGGAATTACTGGTCATAGGTTGTTATAGAAAATTATGTATAGATTCTGATTTAGTAATTTCTAATTATATGATTTAAGTAAGCAAGGACTTTGTAGTCAGTTATGGGTTTGTGTCTTGGAACTTCTACTTGCTCATTGAATTATGTTTGACAAATTACTTAAACTGTTTTGCTTCTCAGTTTCTTTACCTAGAAACAATTTTCACAATGGCTAAATTTAAAAAATTAAGAGTATTAAGTGCTGAGAAGGGCTTAGCGTAACTGGAACTATAACACTTTGCCAAAGGAGTGCTTACTGGAATGGCCATATTAGAAAGTAAACTTTTTCTAAGTTAAATATACACTTTTACAAAATCCAGAAGATCCACCCCTAGATATTTTTCCAAAAGAAAAGAAAATATGCTTACACAAATGTTTACACGTGAGCACTTTATAGTACTTTGTATCACTTTTATTCATGGTAATCTCAACCTGGAGACAGTTGAAATTTGCATGAGCTAATGCACAGATACAATGTGGTTTATATATCTCCATATAATACCAAGGAGTTCATTACTGATCCATGCAGCTAAATGCTTGTGTATTATAGTATTACTCTAAGCAGAAGAGGCTTGATACAGAAAAGCTTCATACTCTACAATTCAACTCTCAATGGCACTCTGGAAAAAATAGAGCTATAGGGATGTCAGTCAGTTAAATATTTACCATGGGACTGAGAGTAGAGAAAGGGAATTGACTGCATAGGGGTGCCAGGGATTATTTTGGGGTGATGGAAGCATTCTATACCTTGTTTGAGTGGGTGGTTACATAACTATAATTTGTCAAAATGATGAATTGTACTCTATGTAGATCATACCTCAGTAAAAAGAAAGACAAAACCAGTGTGTGTTTCAGGGATGGTATGGAAATTATAAAAGATCATTCTCCCTGTTGTTCTCTTATTTTGGGTTATTTATTATTCTCTGCTTATATCACTTATAAATTTAAGGTTTGTGATGAATTTTAGGGATGAGGTACTACAGAAAAATGTATGTGTTTATCAGTGTTCATCTGCAATCCCTGAGTCAGATTTGAAATTGAGTCTTCCAGTATATTCTTACGGTTCTAGGTGCCCCAATTAGTACGAAATAACTCAGAATTGGAATTTGCACACTTTGTAAAATGTACCAACTTTTTATCTGCTTCAACTGGATGCTTATCTCTTTCTCCTGTCAGTGAGAATGTATGGTGTGGTTTTGAGGGTATAAAAAGTAGTCTCCAGGTATGTCTCAGAGTCCTGCCCAAGAAAAGTTTCCTCTACTGCTCTGCAAAACTTCGTCCCATTCCACAGTAGTTCTGAAATGCGAGCAACCATTAGAATCACCAGCCAGAATAGTTTAAATAACAACTTGCTCCCTCCTCCCCCAGTTACTCATTCCATAATAGTTCTAGGGTAGGAGGCAAGAATTTGCATTTCTGATAGATTCCCAAGCATTGTTGATGTTGCTGGTTGGGCTGTATACTTTGAGAAACTAATTTATATTTCTGATGTTACAGTGTCAACAATCCTACCCACGTATAGGGACCAACGTTTGCTTTTAAACTTTTTCATCATTTCATGACCACTTTATTGTGTGTGTGTGTGTGTTTGTGTGTGTGTGTGTGTGTGTGTGTGTGTGTGTGTATGTAGAATATGAATCAGTGAATGGTAAGTACTAGGCTAGAAACCATAGTGTTTGATGCCTGAAAGATAGAGAAATGGTACAGATCATAGTGGCAAGAGAAAAAAATAAAAGTAGAGTCTAGCTACACAGCCTTTTCTTTTAACCTTCTGCGTGTCATCATGCCAAATCATACTTATCTCTTTAGCAACAACTTTGAGTTCCTATTCTATTTTTAAAAGTCTGAAAACTTTTACTAGACCTCTTCTGGACAGCAGCCTAAAATATTCTCAGTTGAGACTCCTCACTGAGTTGACTATAATAAATACCCCCCCCACCTAAGTTTCATGATTCTGTCCTTTTTTCCCTAAAAACAATAGTAATTTTCATGGAATGAAAACCACAAAGTGCTATGAACTGCATTACTTGAAACAATTTGGGATGTGTGGGTAACAGAGTTCAGGTGAATCAGTACAAATCATGCTCTATTATCAAATAAATCTCTAAACCAAAAAAGGAATAGTCCTAATAGTTTTAATAGCAGATGTAAACAAATATAAGTAAAATTCAGAATTGAAAAAGCTTGTGTTAAAGAAATAATAGGTGTATTTTTTCTTCCCAAATGCCAAAGCAGATATCGAGGGCTGAATATATAAATCTGTTCAGAATTCCTATGTTAAGATTGCTGTAATATATATTGTTCTGTAATCATATCTATTGAATTTTCTCTGTGATAGATTAAATGCAGTATATTATACTTAGCTGATGTCCCTCTATTCCTCTACCACTACCTGGCACACAGATTATTAAGATTCTTTAAAGAAAATAGCTTATTGCATTCTATGATTAGATGCCTCAGTTGAATAGTAGCCCTCTGCCAGTTATCATTACAATGCCATATTGATTTTTTTCTCATTTCCATTATGGAAATTAGGATGTTTTTAAAAGAAGCTTCCATATATATTATAGATATAACTGTTTCTGAATAGGAGTTATTTCTTAAAGTTATTTTCTTCAGTGATCTGATGACTCTTACTGATATTCTCTTAAAAGTGTAGTCTTTTGCTACAGTGATAAGCTTTTCCTTAGGTACGTATGAAATGGAGAATTTAAAGACTGGAATAGAAACTGTCTTTAATTACTATGTTTAAATAAGTTTGTGCAAGCACAAGGGCCCGAGTTTGATCCCCAGTACCAAAAATAAATAAATCAATATGTTTAAATATGTTAAGTATAATGGCTAGGAATGTATCTCTATGGTATAAGACTTTATCTAGCAGGCATGAGACCCTGAGGTCAACTCCAGGTAATGCACGCGCACGTGCACACACACACACACACACACTCACAAAACAGTAAGATTTTAGTCATTACTTCATGGAAATCTGCTATAGATTTATATATGAAGTTCTCAGGCATTGTGAGCCTGCTTGTTCTGTTAGCTACCCTCACTAGTACAGTTAATTAAAAGTCAATCAGCAAATATGTATTTAATATTGACTGTATATACATATTTATTTAGTGATTATAAGCCACTCTGCTAAGTGCTCTGGGAGAAATAAAGATGAATGAGATAATATAGTATCTTTAGAGAATTTACAATCCAGACGTGTGTATAATAAGACATGTGTGGCATGAATCATAATGTCATTAGTGGAAGATAAAGATCACATGGGAATTCAAAAGAGACAGAACTAGCATTTGGTGGGAGGACTTGCAGGGGAAAAATATTAATTGCTCAAAATTTAGAGAGATGGTGTTGGGGTTTTCCTTCTTGGAAGAAAGAATAAATGATATAAATCAGAACTTTTGGGATGGTGCCAGGAATTATCATCCTACTTTTTTTGTTGTTGTTGTTCCAGGGATCAAACTTGCAACCTGGCACTTGCAAGGCAGGCGCGGTGCAACTGAGCTAAATCCCTGGCCCTTTCACCCTAATTTTATTGGCACATGTGGTATTAGGCCTGGAGCTGGAAGAAGAATAAGGATACATCAGAATACACTAGGTAGTCCAGGGGAAGATTTTATAGAGAAGTCTATTGTTTAGGGCAATTTAATCTGGCATTTTATAAAATGCACAAGAGAAAAGATAATTAGGGCTAGATTGTTAGCAGTGAAAAAGAGGGAAGAGTCATTTGGAGAAGTCATTCTAGAAGTAGGACATTCATGACCAGATGCTACAAAGTCAGATCAAGTACTTTGTGTTCTGTCTTTCAGGCTTCTACCATACATAGGATTTAATCTCCCCGCTATTCTCCGGAGCTTGCTTACTCAGCTTTCATACACTGGTCTCCTGATAGTTCCTGGAACATTCCAAACCAGTAATTAATGGTTTGGACTTCAGGACTGTTAGAAAAGTCATTACTTCCCATAAGGCTCTGCTTAAATATTACCTTTTACAAAATGTCGTTCACTGACCAAACCTTGAAAAATAGCATCCCAGCAGTCCTTTTATTCCATTTATCAAGTGTTATTTTTCTTTATTGCATCAAAACACTGTCAGTTTAAAAATATTGTTTTCATCATTTGTCTCCTTATCTTTAGATGTTAAGGGTTTAGTTTTGTTGTCTCCTATAACTCTTGCCATCTGCAACATGCTGGGCAATATGTGTGTGTGTGTGTGTGTGTGTGTGTGTGTGTGTGTGTATGTATATGCTCCAAAAGTATTTGTTAAATGAATGAATGGAATAAATGTAAAGGTTAAGAGAATGAGAGATGAAACATTTATGCTACTATTAGAAGTCTGAAGAATTCAAGGGGTAATAATATCATTAACAATATCAGTAAAAGGAGGAAAGAATTGATTCAGGGAAGTGAAAACAAGGAAAGATAAATTCAGCTTCTAAATTCAAGCCGAAGCATAGGATGTGTGTGAAACTACCAAGACAGTGCCGTAAAATGAATGATCAAAAATATGAAGAAAGTCCTGAGTTTTAGATGAAGATTGCTGAGTCATCCTCAGAGTTAGGACTTTAATCAGTGGTAATAGAAAATGACAAGCAATTTTAAAATAACATTTTCAGATTTGGAAACCAAAGTTTCATTTTGAAAAATGTTTTAAATATATGAACTTGTTTACACATTCTTTTTATCTCTTAGCTGGGTTAACAACTTTGGCCATGAAGGTCTTGGACTCTTATTGGATGTGTTGGAAAAACTTCTGGACAAAAAACAGTAAGAATAAACATTTGCAAAAATTTTTCAAAGGAGAAAATTTTTGAACATGATATGATATGAGTTTTTTCTTACTTAGGCAAGAAAATATTGATAAGAAGAATCAATATAAACTAATTCAATGCCTCAAAGCATTTATGAATAATAAGGTGAGTAATATTTATTTATGCTTCTGTTCCTAAAGGGGAGAACTTGCCTGAGAGTATAAAAGTATAAAACAGACAAAATAGTGGACTTGTGCTCAGTATATAAAGGGGTCTTCAAGATGGAAATCATCACATGTACCATTTAAATATTTGCAATATACTTTGCTTCCCATAATATTTAATGGTAGGCTACACATATTCATCTTGTTACCAAATTAGGTAATACTTTTATTTTTCTTCTGTACTTTTTATAATAGGAAAACTTAAATGTCATAAATTGAGTGCCATTTTTATACTTTTTATTCCATTGAAAAGAAAAGGGGTAAAGTATGACATTTTTGCTAAGAATATTAGAAGATTAAAATTTCTATTTTATGTTCAATTAATGTTGGTGAGCGAATATATATGAATGATATCTCTAGAAGATAGAAGGGATTTTAGTTTTGATATGTGTATAACACTAGGAAGAACTATATGAATTATAGAATATTTTTATTATTCTTTTATAAATTACCTGTTTTATATAATTCACCTAATTACCTGATTATTTATATGGTATGTTAACAATCTTAAAATACTTAATAGAAACAATTATAATAATAAATAACTGGCCACATTTGAAATTTCTAGCTGTTGCGGTAACATACCTAATGCAATAAGATTATGTATTTAAGTTATGTGCAGTTTGTCTTATGCATATGGTATTATGTACCACTATATTTATAGTGTGCACATGTATATCGTCAAAGAATACTGACACATGCCATGGATGGTTGCTAGTAGACCTCTGCCTAAAATATAGTGCTATTTCTGAATCTCTCTTAGATGTTGGTACAAGTATAGAATTTCTCAACTTCTGTGCTCAGGTTATACAGAGTCTTATGCCTAGCAAGAAATGATTTATTTTACATTGCTACTCAACAACTCAGGATGGATCTCTTTCTTAAATTGAGGGGAAGTATAACAATAGAAAGAGAACATAGTAAGAGAAATCAAAAGATAATAGTTGATACTTTATCGCTAATAAGATGCCTTTGGAAAATAACTTGACCTCATTGGTAATTAGTCCCCTTATCTGTAAACTGAACTTTAAACCTGTTTGTTTTACATTCTTATTGATTTGTGTTGTTAGCTTCCCCAGTTTTCCACGGTATCAATTATAATCAGGATTGTCACTAGAGAAATATATATTGACAAGAGTTCCTCTAGAACCTTTCCCCAGGATATACTTTGTTGTATCACCCCATTGTTTTTTGTATCTTAAGAGTTTGTCAGTTTTGAAGAACTGTTGATTTTTCTTGGATTATCCTAAGCTAAGTTTTAGTGAGGTCATGTTTATATCTTACATATAGGTCCTCAGAACATGAATAAATTGGTCTTTTAAGTTATAGGAATTTGAAACAGTAGGAATAAATGTGTATCCAGGATAGAAAATATGCAGTGATATGTTCATTTCATGTTAGAATAAATTAAAAAGGAAACTTCCGTTAAAGAGCAATTATATTTTGTGTTCACAAAGACTTTCAATTATTTACTTCAGAAACTCTTTCCCCTTTTTCAATATATTGAATAATAAGACCATGAAAAGCAAGTCATTATCCCTTAACTTCCACTTCCCTAATATTGCTTGGATGTTTGGATTGAAAGATTTTTCAGGTATATTTTTATGTTTTTATTTTTATATCTAATATATCCCTATATATTATAAATTATTATTAATAAATAAAATCTTGAAATTTACAAATATTTCCCTGTCATTCTAACTGATTTCTAAAGCTGTTAAATTTTGTAACTGTGTGGTAGTAATTCAGCTCTCAGATTTACACATGTGCTTTTTAAAACAATACAAGTGCTTTTTACTTATATTTCTTTTTTTGTTTGTTTGTTTGTTTGTTTTGAGACAGGGTCTCACTATGTAGTTGAGACTCACCTGGAACTCACTATGTAGCCCAGGCTGGTCTCGAACTCAAAGCGATGCTCCTGCTTCAGCCTCCTGAGTGCTGGGATTACAGGCGTGTGCCACCACACCCGCCTATATTTTTTAATTTTTATTTTGTACTGGCCACCTTTATACATACCTATCCCTTTGTTTTTCTTTGCTTCTTTCCAGTATTTTTTATCTTTTCTTGTCTCCACATGTTTCTTTATTTATTAGGGTCCATGCTAAAGTCGCATTTCAGAAGAAGGCACTAGAAGTGTTTGTTAGGAAAGTACAGGAACAGGACTTGTTCTTTAAAAAGATTGCGGAGTCTGAATGCCTCACTCCATTAACACAGAGCTGGATTTCCAAATTCTATCCTATTCCTAGCTTCCATTCCATTGGATCATAACAGTAGGAACATTCTATTGGGTTTACCTTTTTTTTTGGTAATGGGGCTCTAACTCAGGTCCTTGAATTTGTGAAGCAGGCGCTGGAACCACTGAGCTAAATTCCTGGCCCTGGGTTTGGCTTTTTAAGTAGGTCATTCTGTTCTCTTCATCTTCTGCCACCATCTGTATCGATTAGCTCACAAAGACAATCACCTGACTCACCTTCTAGGTAATTTTTTGTTTTGTTTTGTTTTAAGCAAAGAAAATGGGAAAATGAACTAAGATAGATGCTAAGCTGTGTTGGCACCTTTCAGTAATTCCCTAAGCTGATTTTATATATTAACCTTAAATATTGTATTCTTTAGACTATGTTACTGAAAAACTGTTAAAGAAATATGTTCAAAATTGTTAAAAAAACTGTTACATCTCTAAATATTAATAAATATATTTTTATCTGAAAAAAGTCACATTTAGGAGTTTTAGCAATGATTCTTTCCTCTAAGTTCTTTTAGAAGTTAAATTAAGAACCATGCTATTGTTCGTGTGTTTGATACTTAAGTACAGGTTAGCTTGAAATGATAATTTTCCTCTGATGAAACATTGTCAGTTTTCACTGATAGACTATAAAATGAAACAACCATTTTTCAGGAAAAATACAAGAAATAGCTTGTGGTGCATAGATGAAAGAAAATATCCCTTTCTTCAATATAAGAAAAACCCGTTTCAAGCTCTATTTAGCATTTTATCTATTTGTTAGAACTTATGTGTGTGTGTCTGTGTATGGACATTTATGGGTCCATGCCTAGAAAATAAATGAAAATGATGTCTTCTCTGCCTTTTGACTGTGACTTTTAATGAAACCTAGGTGCCATATCTTTGGGTTCATAGCCTTTGCAAAAAGGAGGAGGATAAGAACAAGAAGGGGTAGAAGATCTATGCCAAGGTTTATCACTTTTTAATTGGCATATAGTACATAATTGAGCTTTTAAATTCATTTTTTTGTTCACCTTAAATTCCCATGCAAATATATTGTATAATTTAACCATAAATTCCAGACTTCCTTAGAGATACCCAGTGGCACAGAATTGTATTAAAAAATCATATTAGTATTTGTTTCACATGTTCTTTGTTGAAGTAGTACTGATTGTTCCCATATATCTCTCAAATTTTTGTGTAGTACTGATTGTTCCCATATTTCTCTCAAATTTTTGTGGAAATTGTACAGTAGAATATTGGAGCTCATATCTGACCAAGGGACAAAACCTCCAAGATGGAGTTAGTTTAACTAAAAAAGCGATAGATAACTAATAGAATTTGAAAAGCATTTATATATTTTATGTAGGACCTCAGTGTGGAGATATGGGTGTTTTTGAAAATACTTTTAGGTTGCTTTTTTATATTGAAAAATGTTCCATAGACATTTTAATTTTAACTTTTGATTTTTTGTTTTAGTTTGGATTGCAAAGGATTTTAGGAGATGAACGAAGTCTTTTACTATTGGCAAGAGCAATTGATCCCAAACAACCCAACATGATGACTGAAATAGTAAAAATACTTTCTGCTATTTGCATTGTTGGTGAAGAGAACATTCTGGATAAACTTTTAGGGGCAATAACTATTGCAGCAGAAAGAAATAACAGGGAATGATTTTCACCAGCTGTGGAAGGATTAGAAAATCATGAAGCTTTGCAATTACAGTTGGCGTGCATGCAGTTTAAAAACAATAATAGAGTTTAGAAAATTATTGGCATTTTTATCTTGTCAGTTTATATTTTAGCATTTTTTGTTGATATTATCGAAACTAGGTTTAAACTGACTCCTAATAGGAAATTCTTCCCAGATGAGTTCAAACTAAATAAATAGAATTTTATGCACTTGCAGGTAGCACAATCATTAGATAAATAGGCAAAAATCAGTTATTTTGACAAATGCACTCATACTTTATGCTGTACACCAGGCAGTCTTTACTTCTTTAATTGAATTGACTAGATGCCTTTATTGTGTGCTATTACTTTACAACAGAATATACTTTGCCTGTTTATGAAAACTGAAATGAGGAATTATTTATAGAGCGCAATAAATTAATCTCTTAGAAAAAGATAGGTTGTTGATATTTATTGAGTGTTTATGTATATTCCAAAGTCAGCAAGTGTGGTCAAAATCAAACATGTTTTGAATCATATCTTATGAAATAATGATGAATCAAAGACCAAATTTGAGTTCAATGTTATTATTAAGTTTAGTTTATGAGAAATCACTATAATAAAAATGAAATGTGCTTAGGACATGAACTAAAATATTTCTTTTGAACATTTCATGTGACAGTAATACTTTCAATTTGAAACAGAACAGGACCATGCAAAGATTTAGGGATGTTTTAAGATGTTGATTTTTCCATAACTGTTAGAATAAAATGAGATATTGCTTAGTCCTACCTGCTGTACTTAAAGGTAAAAAAATAAACATTACACAAAAATATTGTCTGCAACTTTAAATCTTTTCTTAATGAGAACAGAGGAGGTAATATGAAAAAGGGAAGTTTTCATAGACATCTTAGAAAAATCAGTTTATAAATAATAATTATTTTGCTTGTCAATTAGCATTTCAATATTCAGCTCATAAAATATTACCTAGTCTGGTATACTTATTACAATTCAATTATCATTTCAGGTGTCATTTGATAAAAGTAACCCACTACAAAAAAATTAAAAATCTGAGAGTAGAGAGAAAGAGGAAAAAATTTGAGATATATTATGTATGTGTATCAATTTCCCACAACAAATGTAATCATTATGTACTGTAAACATATATTAGTAAAATATTTTGGCATTATGTAATCAAGTGTGCTTTTCAGGGTGTCTGCCAGAAAAATCATTTTCCTCAGTTTTTTCTATTAGAATTTTCAGTTTGATGCCCTAAATTATTTACAGCTATCAATATTTATCTTTAGAAATATATTTAGAGGAACACAATTACAATAATTGTAATGGTCTTTCAGTTGGAATTTTATCAAGAGATCTATTTTATATTGTGCTCATAGTTCACAACAATATAATGTGTACTTGACATTAACTTAGAGTAGATTTTTTGTATACAAATACACAAAGTATTGAGGTACTACATATGTCGTTTAGTTTAATTTCAAAACATTACATTGTTTACCATATATCTGTATACAATTTTTGTCAAAAGCATTAAATAATGTTTAAAATTATAATGGTCTATTTAAACATCAGCACCAGAAAAATAATAGGAAAGCCTGAAAGGAATAACCCATGCTAATGATAAGTGTGTGTGTATGTGTGTAGTAATTCTTATTCTGTTTTTTCTTTTTTCTTTTTCTCTATAGTCTGGATAAACTTTTAGGGGCAATAACTACTGCAGCAGAAAGAAATAACAGGGAACGATTTTCACCAGTGGTGGAAGGATTAGAAAATCATGAAGCTTTGCAATTACAGGTCAGTTAATTTTGTCTCAAATTGCATCTAGAATTACATTTAGAGTTCTCATTTTCTGTGACATCTTTCTCCAGTTTACCTTGCATTTAAATACTATGGAATGTAAAAATAAAATTCCTCCTGTTGTTGGAAGTTTTGGTTGTGAAAATAATAATTTGTTTAAACTTAGGGAAATATTACTGAATTATTAGTAATATGGCCCCTATGATTATCATTAGTATCATAATTTACTAATCAGTGTAATTATACCAGGAAGTTGATGACTTAGCAATAACCAGGGCCAAAGGAAAAGCAATTCAGTCAGTGCTGTTATCCTAAGAGATGTTAGTCAACTCTGTCGGCTTTTTGTAGAAATTTAAGAAAATGATGTTTGTCAATCTTTGTGATATTCAGGCAACATTCATAGGCCTCACTCAACAAAACAGAGGTGACTGAATTGCTACTGTATGTCAAGGTTCATCTGATAGCCTTATATAGACCCAGCCTAAATATTTCCTTCACAAAATAACAAATTTGTAAATTGTGTGGTATGCAGTTTTTTGGCTTAAAAACTTTATTAAGATAAAGAAAATAAAAAAAAACTGCTGTCTTTTTTTTAGTGGTTACAGGAAATGATCTGTTTTATGAAAAGTAACTTTGTTTTTGAGGGATGAGAACTCCTGTTTATTATTTGAATTTATAATGTTTGGTCCTAGACTATAAATTTTAGTTTGAATATGTCATTTGATTTAATTATGCAACTCAACTTTCTAGGTATTATTATCTCAATTTTTCATATGAGATGTATAGGCAGAATGAGTTAAATAAACTCGTTTAAAGTGATTCAGCGTATAAGAGTCAGAATTTGATACTTGGTTGTCTAGTCTCTGATCATAATCTCTTTCTTTTAGATAGTGTATGCATCTTAATGCACCATGGAAAACACTCTTTGAAAGATATTTTTTTTTCATGAAGTTTATTGGTACATTGTAGGTATACAATACAGTTACATTCATCATTGGGATCTTGTACCTTTACATGATGTATCTTGGTTCTTATTTTTTCCCCATGCCCCTGCCCTCCCTTAATCCCCTCCACCCTTCCCTATTTACAAAGACTTTGTTTCAATTTTTTCCTCTTCTTGTAGTTTTTCTTTTCCCTTCTTTCCCCTCCCCTTCCCACTTCCCCTCCTTCTTTAGTCCTTTTCTTCCTATTTCACATTATCTGTTATACAATTTGAACCTTATTTACACTTTTAGTTTTTCATACCAGAGAAACTATTCAATATTTACACGTGTCCCATTTATTTCACTTAAGAGTATCACCTCAGTGTGCATCCATTTAGCTATACATGTCTCTAGTTCCTCATTGTTTATGGCTATTACTCCATTTTATAGAAAAAAATACTTGTTCTTTATCTAGTCTTCAACTGATGGGCAATTGGGCTGTTTCCAAGTTTTAGCTATTACAAACTGTGCCACTATAAACATGGGTACACATATTTCGCTGTGGTATGATTCTTTTAATTCTTTGGGAAAGATACCCAGCAGAGGTATAGCTGGGTCAAGTGGTACCTATAATACTAGTTGTTTGACGCATCTCCATATTGATTTCCACAGTGTTTGCACTAGTCTGCACTCCCACCAACAATGGAGAAGGGTTCCTTTCTCCCCACATCCCCACCAGCATGTGTTATTGGTTAATTTCTTTTCTTTTCTTCTTTTTTTTTTTTAACTGGGGATCAAACACAGGACCTTATGCTTGTGAGGCAGGCAGCGGAACCACTGAGCTAAATCCGGGCCCTGTTAATTTCTTGATAGCAACCATTCTTTCTAGGGTGAGTTAGAATCTCAGCATTGTTTTCATCTGCATCTCTGGAATGACCAGTGATGTTGAACATTTTTCATAATTTATTTGCTGCTTTTACTTGTTTGAGAAATGTCTGTTCATTTCAAATGCCCACTTTTGAATCGGGTCTTTATATTTGAGGGTCTGATTTTTTTGAGTTCTTTACATATTCTACGTAGTAGACCTTTGTCTGAAGAACAACTGTTAAAATTTTTTCCCACATTGTAGGTTGTCTCTTACCTCTGTTGGTCATTTCTCTTGAAGTGCAGAAGTCTTTTAATAAAATGAGATTCCAATTGTTGTTGATTCTTTTTGCTAGTTCCTGTGCTATTGAGGATTTGTTCATAAAGTCTTTTGCTATGCCAATATTTTTGAGAGTTCTACCTAACTTATCTTCCAGCAAGTTTATTGTTTCTGATTTAATATTTAGATCTTTAATCCATGCTGATTTTAGTTGAGTGCATGGTGAAAGGGGTCTAGTTTTGACCTTTGGGAGGTTGAAATCCAGTTTTCCAGCACATTTTATTGAAGAGGCTATCTTTCCTCCAGTGAGGATGGTTGGCTCCTTTGTCAAAGATTAGGTAGCTGAGTATATCTAGAGTTGTTTCTGTATCTTCCAGTCTATTCCACTGATCTTTGGATGATCTGTTTCGTTGCCAGAACCATGTTTTTTTTTTTTGTTTATTTGTTTGTTTGTTTTTTGTTTTTTTTTGTTTTTTTGGCTTTGCAGTATAGTTTCAAGTTAGGAATTGTGATAACCACTGTCATGTTTCTGTGGTCTAGAATTGCTTTTGCTACTCCATGTCTCTTCTGATTCCAAATGAATTTTTGGATTTTTTTTCTCTAGTTCAGTTAAATATACTGTTGTGATTTCAAAGGGACTGCATTGAATCTGAATAGCAGTTTTGGAAAAATGGACATTTTTACTATGTTGATTTTTTCATACCCAGGAGGAAGGGATGTCTTTTCATTTTCTTATATCCTCTTTGATCTCTTTTCTTTGAAAGCTATTTTAAACTCTTTGTATGGTGATTCAACAGAGAACATGGTTCCACATTTAATTTTATCAAACTTTTCTTGTATTGAGTATTGAAATATTAAAATTTGTCATCTGACATGAAACTAACACAGTTTGTATTTGTTTAGTATGAAATATTGGTATCTTTTTTCCACCAGAGTTTGAGACTCTATAGTGTGACAAAATTCTAATAAGATAAACTTGTCTGTTGTGCTTTTTAAGTCATACATATTTTTAATAACTAGGTTTTTTCCTATTTTTTCCTTTTTGTATCACATTTCATTTCATCATGACATTTAATCTCAATAAAATTTCGTATGTGTATTAAAAACTGCCTTTTTTAGTTCCCTTTTTGAAAGTTTTGTCTTTGTTTCTAGGATTTGGCCTATAAACTAAATTTCATTGACATTCAGACATATGTCTAAATT